ACAGCAGCAGCAGCAGCAGCAGCAGCAGTGTGCGACGACTGCCGCAGCAGCTGCTGCAGATACTTACAGCCCCAGGATTCTGTCACGATGAGGAGCAGCAGCAAATGCTTAACCGCATACTGGAGCTGCAGCCGCTGGACCCTGCTGCTGCTGCTGCAGCAGCAGCAGCAGCAGCACCTGCTGCTGATAGTTCTGCTGCAGCAGGTGCTGCTACTGGTGCAGCTCCTGCTGCTGCAGCAGCAGCAGCAGCAGCAACACCGCAGCAAGTGGGCTCTGCAGCAGAAAACGATAACATCCCCAGCAGCAGCAACGAGATGGGCAACAGCAGCAGCAGCAGCAGCAGCAGCAACAGCAACAGCAACAGCAACAGCAACAGCAACAGCAACATGAGGGACTCTGCCTCTGTCTGCTCTTCTGACCATGATCCTCAGCAGCACCACCACCACCACCACCACCACCAGCAGCAGCAGCAGCAGCACCACCCCCAGCAGCACCACCCCCAGCAGCAGCAACAGCAACAGCAGCAGCAGCAGCAGCAGCAGCAGCAGCAGCAGGAGCAAGAGCATCGTTGGGTATCAGAGTTTCAACGTAATTGTTTAATGGAGGCAGCCGAAGATGTATATATATCTTTATGTGGTTTAGTGAGTGCGTGTACACTTCGGGTGTATGTACACCAGCGTATACATAGCAGCGAGAATATATATATATATAAAAAGCAGTTTATAAAAAGCTATAGTTTATATAATATAATAAATTATATTTTTTCTATGGTTGATATAACCCCAAATAAAATAATAATAGATATAGAGACTGGGCTAGTGCAACAAGCAGAGCTCAAAGCATCTTATTGTTCTTCTTCTTTCTTTCTTTCCTCAACAGAAAGAATACCATTTAGATTGACAAGAAATATACAAATGATGATAGATATCTTCGGCTTTACTGGGCTTCTCCCCGGGTGTATGTACACCTTGGTCTCCTGTATACATAAATATTCTACACACTTCTCCAATGCTGCTGCTCTTCTTGTTAGGGATGATGTTGCTTTCTTTTATAAACAAAAAATACAACAGCAACAGCAAAATATACTACTGCAGCAGCAGCAGCAGCAGCAGCAGCAGCAGCAGCAGATGCAGATGCAGCAGATGCAGCAGATGCAGGTTGATTGTAACTCGCAGCAGCAGCAGCAGCAGCAGCATGCTGCTGCTGCTGCTGCAAATGGAGGACAGCAGCAGCAGCAACATCATGCAGCA